ACGCTTCACGAATAATTAATGTTTTAGCAAGTAACAATCATCAAGATTACAGCCATCAACCCTTAGTAAACAAAGTATTTCACAAATGGTATGGTACAGTGGAACGCTGTTAATATGGTCACTAATAGGCCCGTATAAACGGGGTGGCCATATTACCAGGGCAGGCTCAAATTTAATGACTTGAGGTCCGTAATGACAAATACACCGTACATAACATTCACCGTACTGTTCTCATTAATAATTAACCGGAATGTAGATATTGCGTACAGTAGTTGAATAATCTCATAAAGTTTCCTTCAGTACATGGAACTCTTTTAAAATTTGGTTTTATATCACCACAAGTGCATTTCAAGTGTACTGTAGTCTAAAAACAGTACAAGAATAAGTTCAGATTACTAGGTCAATAAAATGGACATGTCACAGGCTTTTTAATTTTCTAAATTGTATTAACAGGGTGAAATTATAAGAGATGCTAGTTTTTGGGATTTTAACGAGTGACCGCATTCACGGAGCTTTTTATAAGGAAATGTATGGCCATTTAGCTGGGCTGAAAAAAAAAAACGATCGTAATAAGAAATGACCATATTACCATGGAGGCTGTAAGGCAGGGTTCCACTGCATTTAAAAATGACCTCCTGCTGGTCTTTGTTCAAAATGTGGATAACAGAAACAGTTTTGCTTATACTTAGATGCTGCATAGTAATTTATCTGGTGAATAGCACTATCCAATGTTCAAACAACTGTTGCCTGATTGTGTAAACATTAAAGTAAACAATGACACATACCAAAAATGTGTTAAAAAATATTAACTTGCATGATTTTGTATGCCTCTCATCAGAAGTCCAAAACTTGTTGAACATACAGTGTATCAATGAGAGAATCCTGTCTTTGATCTGTAACAGTAACAAAATAATCCATGTGACTTACATTAACATCTGTTATAAGAAATAAACTGATCACGACTTAACTTGTATTAATTGCCTGTATTAAAGAAAAGTGTCCACCTTGTGGAGAGTTAAATTTAATGTCTGAAGGATAGAGGAACCAACTATAGGACTAACAGGGGCATAGCAGGGTGCAAAGAAAGTCATTTTTACAGCTTGCCATTTGGGCAAGCTGAGACTAGCATATACAAGCCCAAATGTCATTTCAACTAGTCCCAAAAACTTTTTGATGAGCAGAATTGATTTCACAGTTCTTCTGTAATTTGAATTCCTCAAAATACTTCACTTGCCCAACAGGCAAGTTAAGAACAGAATTCACCAGCCCAATAGCAAAATCCACTGGCCCCAGGCTATCGGACACTACTTTCTTTGCATGCTGCGTAGCCAGCTTTTCGATTAGTTGTGGGCCTGTCTGACTTTCACTTATCCTGGAAATTGCCTTCAGGACTAGTACACACTCCCCTTTTTTTAGTTCACCCCAACAACCTATAATTATTACCAAACATTTGTAGGCGTGGGTCTACAGGTCTATGGCTGGCTATGCCACTAACTAAACCTGTATTTACTACAGTTAACTCTCTCACACTAACTGCCTATATTATAGAACGATACCCACCTTGTACAGAGTTAAATTTATGACTGAAGAGCAAAAGGGACCAACCTTAGATTCTCATTGTACAGGGGTATCCTGTCTCATAGACAGACCAGACAATAATGCATTACTGTGCAGAAGGGAAACTAAAAGGTGTGATATTGGGAGATGTTCTACAAGTTTAACCTACAATTTTTTTTATGAATAAATATGTTGAGTTAAATTTTATCCTAAATTAAATTTATGGTTTTCCTCTACTTCAGCCTCAGCAAAACAAAGGAAACAAAATTTAAACAAAGGATAAAATTGAGCAACAAAATATACCCCATCCGCCCTGGTTTCTATTGTTGCTTACGACAAAACAGTACTAGTTTATCCCACTTTTTGTCTCCCTAAAACAAGGTTATCCGCTTTGGGAAACCATTCATGCATTTACTAATAAAGTTTATAAAATCAAAAGAAAACGGATCGAGTAATTTAATTACCCAAACTCCCCGAGGCAAAGCTCATCTTTAGTGGACTTATTCTTAAGTTTGAAGTGAAATAAACAAAAGAATCAAAGTGAAAATAGAGTCTACTGTCAAAAAACGATTTTATTTACTGATGCTTCATCCTTTTCAGAAATTTCCGTCGGAGAAAATTTAAGATTTTTTTTTTACTTCAATATCTGCAATCATTTCAACAGTTAAACTGGAAAGACCTACGTACCTCACTAATTCCTCAGACAAACACTCCAGGATCATCCATGCCATCAAGCCCATCAACTAAAAATTTTTGTCTCGCTTCAGATTTACGTGACCTTGAAGCACCAGGGGATGAAAGATCTCCGGGTATCCCACCATTGGATGATGATTGATAGACATCAGGGATCACCATTTTGGGTTTATCGCGACGCAAATCGAGATTTCCAGTGACATAGCTTGCCGACAAGTCGTGCTCCGTGTCTAAATTTAGATTCTTGTCCAAATCGTAGTATACGCTTGGATCCGGCGAAGATTCTCCTTTCAAAGAGAGCAACTCCACTGATTTTTGCTGAGAGAGAATTTCTAGTTCCGCAAAAGACCTTTTCATGACCTTAACCTCTTCAATTTGGCGCTCAGCGAGGTCCCTCTGCTTTGACAATTCTTCTCGCGTAACCATTATTTCTTGGGCAAGTTCATCCAGTTCAGATCTGTCATCACCACTTAAGCTCGGAACACTGTCTGATTTTATGTCTTGTGGAGCACGCATTGAATATATCTTACTACCAACGTTTTCTAAATCCGAAATGTGAACGTCTAAATTTTTAAGTTTACTTCGATGCTCTTTAAGTTCGAACTGAAGTTTTTCTTGTCGCGTACGTTCCTCTGCGAGTTCGAAGGCACATGTTTCCTGTATCTCTAACTCTTTAGCTTGCAATTTCAAGACCTGTCCGAGCCTAGTTATTCGGTCGTCAGTTATTTCCTCTTCGGTAAAATACAAGTAGTTTTCCTCGTCTTCGACAGAACAGTCTATTCTCAATTGTAAAATCTCCAAGTCGCGTGCAAGACGTTTGAGTTTGTTCGTCTGATTTGCAACAACTCTTTCCAAATACTTCCCATCGAAATTGCCGCGGAGGTTCTCATCTTTGTGGAATAAATTTTCTTCTTCACTTTCACCGAGTTGTTTAACGGCCACTCCGCCTAAAATACCCGTTGATTTGTCTTTCATTAATTTCAAAACAAACTTAACTTCACTGGCTTGTTTTCCCCACATTTGAAGGCATTTGAGAGGTTTCGCTTCTCGCGGTAAAATCCTCTCTAGATCCCGCCATTTTTCCACCAAGGCAAATCTTCCTAGCTTTCCTGTGGCGCTGGCAACAGCAAGCAAGATATTTTCACAAGTAGTTTCCTCATTAGCGCCTCGAACAACACGCTCCACTCCGTCGACCCATACTTGAAAATCGCCCATCGTTGCATTAAACAACTCGCTTTCCGCCAAAGGTCATCCTAAAATTATAAATCTGTGTTCATGATGTGGAAGGTTGATTTCACTGCAAATGTGAAATTGCGTTCGTTTCATGCTTGAATCTATCCGTCGGTCGTGCGATCGGCTCTGTTCCGCCACAAAAACCAGAAGATTAACGGCGTAAATCTTGATTTTTGAAGAGCGCTCTATTTTGCCAAATAACCGACACTATTGAAAACATGCTTTCTGTCCGATTGTGCCCACGAAATCTTGTGTAAATAAAGACAAACGCATGCGTAGGCTTCGTTGATGACAGATTTCATTCTTTGATATCTTTTAACAGGATGTTTATTTTTTATTTACATGTCAACTACATTGTGATTGATCCAAGATAAAATTAATTAAGAATAATTAAGATGCATTCAAGGAGAAAATTGGAATGGAACAGAACTACAAGATTTAAAGAAATTTGGATCGAGAACAAAAAGATTTTGTTTCAGGCCGGCTGGGAGTGAAAATTAATTTTAAATCATGATTTATCTTTTCTCATAAACATGATAAGACCAAGCTTGGAAACAAATCATTCTGTAGCAGTTAATTTTGCTCAAGTAATTCTGTTATTCTCAGCAAACTCGCAAGGAATTGCTTACTATACGAGCTATAAATTTTTTAGGAAAAGTTTACAGGAATCTGGTTTGGCTAACCTTCAGGCTTTGAGTCGCTTTGTTAAATCCTTCCTTATTTTTATAAATCCTAAAAGATTAACTGACCTACATAAAAATGATTCAGTTTTGAAAACTTTTTTTTAGTCACCTTTTATCTTCAATAAACATCATCATGGTGTTAAGCCAATGAATGGCAGACATAAATTTCCCATCTAAAGTTTCCTTGCCACAGTCATTTAGAGAGATGAAAGAGTTCAAAAAGCTGCAAAGATCTTTGTACCTCTCCACAACATCAAAGCCCAGGGCTTTTTGAAGTTTACGCAAGCAAACAGGACAAAGAAATAAAGGTTGATTTTCTGCTTGAAGGATGGACTTACTTTCATTCATGGCACAGGCAAAATAGGCACAGTGAGACATTCCAAAAAGATGGCAGATTTCATGACTTGTCACCTGAAAATAAAACAAAGGATGTCACAATCAAATGCTGATCATCATTATTATCCTCACTTTGACAGGGGATGGTCAACAATAAAAATGGAGCTCTAAATAAATGGAGAACAAAACCCACCCCTACTCCATCCCCTGCAAACAGATCTTTTAATAGTGAGCAAAAAATGCTAGGCAATAATGCAGAATTTTTGGGAGGTCTCTTATGCAGCAAATTATACAATTTCTCTTTCATTAACCTTCACAGGATTCACATCACAATTTAATAGAACATTACAGAGGCTCTGTATTATTTCCAAAGCTAAATAGCCTTAAAAGAGCATTGCAAAATTGTTGTTTGGTGCAGATTATGCACATTTTTAAGGAATAAGGGATTTTGTATGGATTATGAGACCATTATGTGTCTTAAGACCAAAGGTGCAAAAGGACATCACAACATAACATTAGAGGCCATGCCTTAAGGCTACCTGACATCCTCCTTGATGTCACGTAGGGTGATTGGGTGAAGACAAGGGAGGAGGTGGGGGAGTTCTTTTTAATTTATTTCTACATCGTCCAAAATCGCAGATATAAATCTCTCTCCTCTGCAGAGACCTCTTTGTGTTGTAGAAAGGCTGGGGAAAAGGAGAAATTAAGCACGTGGGGCCTGTGCACTTAATTTTTCCATTATTACTACACTGAAACCTCTATTTAGCAGACACCTTCGGGACCTTCCCAAGTGTCTGCTTAATAGAGGGTGTCTGCTTAATCAAGGTTGTAGAAATTGTGCAATGTTTGTTACTGTTTTGTTAACACACAACGGTTACTCTGTACATACAGTGATAAAGTTCCATGTTGTTAACGAAGCTAAGGAAGCTGTGCTGTACTTTGTGCAAGATTTTTAAGTGAACTTTGATCATGGATGAAACTTATATGGCCAGATATCAGTCTAATCTACAGTTTATTGACAGCTGTTGCTAAATGTACTGATTTATCACCATTAATACACTACAGTACGTATTTCAAGGATGCAATCCAATATTGCTGACATAATAATAATAACAATGAAATTTATTAAAGTCTCATGTCTCATGTCTTATAGCTCAGGCACAATTCAGTCCAGTGTCCGCTTAAAAGAGGTTTTTAACAATAGAAATTAGCCAAATACGTTTTATTTTAGTGTTTGCATCCACTTAATAGAGGTGTCTGCTGAATAGGGGTTCGTTATAAAGGGAAATATAAGAGCTTAATTTCCGGACCCAGCTTAGTGTCTGCTTAATAGAGGGTGTCCACATAATTGGGGGTCCGCTTAATAGAGGTTTCACTGTATTTTCATTGGGATACCTAGTGGGAGCATCTGCGCAGGAGACACCTGATATAAATAATAAAGGGTGTAGAAGAAGGCCCTACATGTAAGTGTCTCTGGACCACATTTCAAATTCTCTACATTAGTTGTGTCACAAGATAACACAGGGTAATTTCAAATGAGAAACTAGAAAACTAATGTTTAATGAAAAGTCACTAAGGGGTGCCCCTGCAGCGGGGAATCATTCTTTGCAGAAAAGTATTTATTAAAATGTGAATAGCAATTTAATGTCCACCATGTGAGGCACAGTTAAAACAATTTGTTTAAAAAAATGGTTTTCAGTTTGAGTTAATTTTGTGTCTAAAAATTAATGTCAAAAAATTAATAATAACCTCTACTTTTAAACAAAAGCAAACAGTACTGTAAATAAATTTTGCAAACTTTCTCTTCAAATTGCTACATTATATATTATTTCTTATAAATACATAAATCAACAATTTTTCAATCATATGTTGCAATCTACCACCAACTAGCGGGGACTACAGAATATACTTACTCGAAGAAGCCTCCAGATTTTTTGCTTATCAACACATTTGATGCCTGCAAAGTCTCTTAAGTTAGCACTGATGTTATGATCACTCTCAATGTATACAGATCCACTTTGATCATCAAAATCAGTGCCATTGAACAGCAAAGTCAAATCTTTTCTGTAAAGTTGAACTTCATTTAGCTTGTTAATGCTATATGATTGTGGCTCAAAATGTCCAAAACTCATTACAGCACAGCCATCTAAACAGGATGATTCACCGAGAACAAAGTTCCATTCTTCACTTGGATACAAGTCAACCCAGGTAAGACCAACAACACAGAAACCATCACTAGGAAGACAGGTCTTCAAGTAATATAGCACATCTGAAAGTTTATCAAAGAATAATAAAGTATTAGTACACTAATGTGTGTTAGGACACCCCGAATTTCCATGTTTTTGCATGATGTGGCATTCAGATGGCTGCAAGAAAGCTCTTATGTGGGTTAAAACATTACCCAGTTTTGGAGATTTTGGTATCTAAACATGTCTCAGAATAAATATTACTTTAATCTCTATGAGTTCCTCAAGAAATGAATTCACGCGTTTGTACAAAAATTCAAAGACAGATGTTTTTCCTTGTTTCCGGCAGCAGGGTACAAAAAAAGTCAGTTTTACAGCCTTCCATTCGGGTAAGCTGTAGCTAGCATGTACTAGCCCACGAGTCATTTCAACTAGCCCCAAAACCCTTTTTGATTAGCAGGATTGATTACAATCCGTCTGTAATTTGAATTTCCCAATAAAATTCACTTGCCCATCAGGCAAGTTAAGAACAGAATTCACTAGCCCGAAACCAAAATCCACTAGCCCCGGGCTATCGGACACAACTTTCTTTGCATGCTGCGGCAGACATATTTCGTACACCAAAGGGACACCAACATGGTGTCTCTATACAAAGCTTTATAAATTTGGGTAAAACACTTTTCCAAATATCTAGCATATGAAGTATCGTGCAGACCTGATTCTTGGCAAGGCTTTTTGTATATTCATCTTCTTTCATTTCCCAGATTCTGGACTTCCTCGATTGAATGGTTTGCATTTTCATTTTTAATGGCATGACAGAGTGAAAAGGGAAAATTGAAGTATATGAGAACTGCACAGGTTCGGTTGATGTTTGTTATAGTAATTTTTTTTTTATTCACCATTTCTGCCTCGGAATCTTTTGCAGTCATTATTTCAAGTAGCAAGATAATGCATCAAAAATCTTGATTAACTTTAGTCTACAATATTGGGTGTTAAATTCCCATAAGTGTAGTACATCAATTTAAGTGAGACTTTTTATGTTGTGAAAGCTCCCTATATATCAGACACTGCAGGGACCTTGAGTTAGTCTCCTCATTAGCCAGAGTCCTTAATAGCGGGCGTTTATTTCAGTCAAACTTCTGTAATTTATTTTTTGCCTGGGATTTAGCTGTTGTCCATATTATCGGGATGTCCATTGTAGCAGGGTGTCGGCAAGGTGAGAGTTAACTGTACTAAGGTGTCCCCTAAGTGGAGATTAAACCTGGGTTTTGTAACCCAGAAAAACTGTCCATTTCCCCTGAATAGAGGTGTCCCTTCAACAGAGGTAACAGATACAAAGATTATGTGGGGAATTTTTCCGGGAAGATTTTTCCAAATTTTGTGTCCCCTGAAAGGAGGTGTCCCTTGAACAGAGGTGCCCCAAAGGAGAGGTTCCACTGTATTCTTCAGTTCATAATATAATCATTTAATGTATCATAAAAGAAAACAAGACCAACTTGCTAACCTGATACCAACAGTTGCAGTTTTCCAGTGACAGCGTGAATCCTTTGTCTGCAGTTTATGTCGATGAAATTTACCTTGTCCATTAACTTTGCTTTCATCCCTTGGAAAAATATTCCCACGAAGTTGGCTATCAACTCAAACAAAGTCATGTCCATTTCTGGAAATGGTTCCAATAATGCTTCCGGAAAGGGTCCTATTGGTAAAATGTATATAATTCTTCGTTTGGATCGCTTTCTCTGACCTCTGTTTAAGTTCCTAAAGCAAGTTTGTACCTTCCATTCACAATAAGTTTGGATTTCACGGCGATCTAGAGGTTCACTGGTAAAGGCTCCGAAGAGGTTTTGACTAGAATCCGGTGGCAGTAAAGCCAGCTCGAAGAGACGGCGCATTCCACCACCAAACCGTTTAAGCTTTCCAATTAAAGCTCTTTGGTTAACCGACTGAACTGTCTTTGATGGCGATGAACTCGGTACAACTTTTCGTTCATCCTCGCAAACCGCCATTTTTCCATTTTTGCTTTTCAGCAAACTCGTTCCCAGTCTTACGCGGAGTAAGTCAACCGGAAGTGGACTTTTTGGCAATATTGGCCAATATTTCGGGCAAAGCATCTCTATGAATCAGGGAGAAAAAACACTTTATAGGAATACAAATTTGATAGCGTAAAGGCATATTAAAAGAGAAAAGGATTCACACTGACGGTTGACGTGCTTAGCTCAAATCGCCTTTTTTAAAGCGTCCTAATGACGTAGCCTGTTCCTTCCTCTTCCTCTCTTCCACTTCCAATTGTTTCATTCTGTTCCGGAAGAGACAAGCCGCTTTTAGAAACGTAATTTAGTTATCACCCGTCAAAAGAGGCTCAATTGTTTCGTTGCTAGTTTTTTTAACTCGTTTAACTCGAAACTTATCAGCAAGAAATAGATTATAACATGGCCTAATTTCGTGCAATCCTATGAATAATATACAGTGAATTTTGTCACCGCAGCCTGAATGTTTCTGTTAAATTTCCCGGCTCCCGCGATCTAAACTCTTTTTCCACTGCAAATATATGGATCCTGAAGCTTCGTTTGGCTGTTTTTTAGTTGATGAAATAAAAACCCTCAACTACGGAGTACAAACTATTGTGTGATAAAATAATGCTCAAATTTACAAATATCCTCAAATATATTACTTGTCCACAATTATCAAATGGGTCGTGGTAAAGAACGCTGGAAAAGGCAACGCGGAAAAATTCGCAGTATTAGAAACAACTAAATCCAGAAAATCTATGTGGACGAAAAAATGGATTTGCATTAATTTGCTCCGGGTAAATATGTCGCAAATTTCTGAAAACTGGAGAGCAAATCTGGGGCAAATATGGTAAATGCTACATTTGTGGCGTTTACCATCTTTACTCCATATGTATTCCTCGGTTTTCACATTTTTGCGACATATTTGAAATTTGTGCAAATCCATTTTTTCGTCCAGTAGGCAGCGCGCTGTTCTTTGTAGTGTGCGCGTATCCAGTGGCATCATAATAATTCTTCAGGAAAGAAGAAATTGACTCCCATTCGGCGGTATGCATGTTGCCATGACGAAGTAGAAACAGGAAAGACTTGTTTGCTCTCCCGACCGTGTTTATGGCTTTTTTGATGGTAGTCTGTAACTTTGTTTCTTGGCAACTTTGTATGCTCGAATGCATATGGTCAGTATTAATTTCCCTAACCACCTGGATTTATTTGACAATCAAACGGTAGCAACACTGCGTAAATACAAATAGAGGTAAGCTGTAGTTAGCTATCAAGAATTTCACTTTTAACTTAAATCCATAGCCAACTTTTATTCTGCATTGTTTCTGCACATTTATATAAAACTCTTTGTGCTGGCCATATCAAATCAACCATTAAGCAACAAATTTCGTACCATAACTGTGACTTGGGTCTATTCCCTTTAGTTTCCCTGACGAGATAGTTTGACTTTGCTTCCAGAAAAACTTATTAATTCGCTCACACTTTCCTTAGTAAACTAAGAAGATGTAAAACTGTTAGTTTCCGCTGAGACTACAGGTGAATTGAGTACTTAAATATCGGGTATAGAGGTCTCACTTACTTCATGCTTGAAATCCTCTGTAAAAATACATTCACTTTCTTCAGACTAATAAATATATCAACTCTCGGAAATTCTCATGAAAGAACTAAGAAAAAATGTTCTTGTCTTGCCAAAATCCGTGTCTTGTCCTGGGAGTGCCACAGAAGAAAATACTGATTGCCAGCTTTACATGGTGAAGGCCTTTTTTTGTCATCCATATCATTTTATATTATTGCTTTTAGAACTTGTAAATCGTCTCCTTATAAGCTTCTCGTCCCAGTATATTAACCTGCACTGAGTTCAAAGTTCCCTAATTTTCATGATTTCGAGTGTTACGTTTACATCCTCAAAGATCGCTTGTTTCTTAGGTGCTCAAAGGTCTTCCGCCAAGAAGTGTCTATAAAAACATGTCTTCCGAGAGCCCCCCACACCTTGAAGAAGAACCGCGGTGTGCGTGCATGGAGAAGGAATATATTCAAAGCCTCAATAAGCGGTTTGCGTCGTACGTTTCTCGGGTGCGACAATTGCGGAGTCTAAGCGGCAGTGGAGCAGGAGAGAGTAGTAGCCTTTATAGCGTTAGCCTTGCAAACACGTCAACTGTGAAGATACAAGAAAATCAGATCACTGCATTAAAAACCATGTATGAGCGTCAGCTTGAAGAACTTAGGACCAAATTGGGAGAAATTACTCGCGATAGAACCCAGCTTCAGCTGGCTACCACCAAGAATACTGGTTTGATAACCGAGCTACAGACCCGGTGAGTAGACAACAAACAAACTTTTAGCGAAGCTTTGTTAAGCGTTCACCCTCCAGATCGTGAACTGCTATGTTAAGGGGTCGCGGGAATCATCTCCCTAATTTCTGTAAACTGCTCTGAATTAACCGGTCACCATTATAAACCAAAATAAACGGTCCGAGGTCACATTATTTTTCTCTTCAACTCTATTAAACGTTCACTTTGTCGCGATGCACCATTTTTAAAAGTTTAATAGATACACTGTGTCTGCACGGCGTTTAGTGATCTTGTATTTTTTTTCCTTTTTATTTGGCACAAGAAGAGGTAGAAACACTTTGAGGTCAGTTTGTCGTGTGTTGGCTATTTCGCTTTGTTGCCATCGTAATTTGTCTTAGCTGGTTTCCAGTCAAGCGTGTATTAAACAGCAACCGACCGTTCGAGGTTTTACTGTACAAAAGTTCAGTTAACTCATTTATATCCCCCGGTAACAATTACAGCTCAGTTTTCCATGAAAATCTCAACATTAATTCGTTGGCAAGACGTTCTTTTCCTTAGCGCAGCTATCATCCAAGCGACCGGAATTGGTAGGCACGAATAATTTCGCATCTCAGATACAACACATTTTCTAGACAATAGATCATGACTTGCTACTCATAGCGATATTGGGTCTTTTTGACTTTGGTACAGTTTTAAGCATAGTTATCCAGTTTAGTTTAGATATTTGATCTTCTTCAAAAATCAAGTTAATATTTAAAAGGATACACAGCTTTAAAACAAGTACGAACCTTCGACGACAAATTAAACCTTACTAGAATAAAAGCATTTCGTGTTGACGCTCTCAGTAATCAGATCTATGAATTCAAAATTTGACCTGAGATCAGGATCTATTTTCCGTTCGCTTGGTAAGTCAAATTCCGGAATTCCCAGGCGAAAGAGAAAATTTAGTAATGTGGCAGCTGCTAAAATTAAATTGGGTCTGATCCGGTATGTGTTCTGGGGTAATTGTACTCATTTGACGGTATCGCGGAAATTACTTCTTCTTACTATACATGTATATGAACACTTTAAGGCTTGAGAATGAGGCGAATATCCGGAAAAAGCTGGAAGAAGCTTTGAAAGATGCCCAACGAGCTATCGCAGACAAGGAAGCTCTCTTGCAAGATGCACGAAATGAAGCTGCCCAACGGGAGAATGCTCACATTGAGACCAAACAAGATAGAGATGGTCTTCTGGCTACTCTGACACGAACTCAGCAAGCTTTAGAGGTGGAAATGGCGGCAAAAGATGAATTGCAAAATCTAGCAAATGAGCTTAAGCCTGAGCTTAAGGAAAAGTTCCATTTTCAGCAACAGCTTTCTGAGAAGGTAAATCATCATGACGAAAAAGGATGGTGGAACAGACAGAAAACATTGTCCTTTTTATTTATTGATGCACTGCGGCGTTTGTTATAATCCTCACAAGGTCCTGATCGCCCGATGTAAAGTAATCCGAGGGATTCCTTGTCAGTGGAACTTGTCTTCCAAATTCCTTCAGCTGAGTTCCGGATTTTCAAAGCCCAGAAATCCGGATTCCACTTGCAAAAATTCCATATGGGGCAACAGCGTACTATTTAGTCTTTCTTAAGCTCATGATTCTGAAGCCATCTGCGTTGATGTGCGTCACCTAAAATACATGTACAGATAATATTTTCGTTGCTGTATATCATACAGACTGCTATTCATGCATCCAACATTCAGACAAAATTGAACTTTTCTTCAAAATATCCGACTCTCTATAATAATTCATTAACTATTTGTATTTTTATTTCGAATGATAGGAATTGAGCGAGATGCGTTGTAGCCTGGACGAAGCAAACAAGAGCATTGAATTGGTAGAAAGGAGGACTCAGGAATATGATTCCAGTGAAGAAAAAATTTCAGCCATGTTAGCAAAAATTAAAAACCGGCATGAAACGGAGTTTCAAAGTTTAAGGAAGAGTCGGAGGCCGCCTACGAAAACGGGGTACAGAATTGTTCTATTACTATTATCCCTGGTATTATTCTAGGGTAAAATATTTCAAAAAGAAGGCATTGATCATCAAGTGTTCCCCTTTTATGCTACAATCCCAGGGCTTTCTTCAACTTTTAGTCTAGTCTCAGACCCCGTCCACACTAACATTTCGATACGTTTAGGCCTTCGGCCACCGTCGAAAACGGTTGTGACTGTAATGGACACCCCAAAGTCAGATTGTCATCTCCACTCAAAATACATGATAGGAGTCTTAACTTTAAGTAGTAAATAAGAGAAGAAAGAAAACAGAAGAAAACAGTAGATGATATGTAGGACTCGAACCCGCGTCATTTGACGGTATAATCCACATCCGTATCCACTACACCATCAAGGGCTAACTGCCGAGACTGATTAATTTTAACGTACTTTGCATGGCGTTGATCATTACGTTATTGAAAGCTAACTGTTTTTAAAACCGTGCTTAACCGTAATCACTGTACTTCGGTGCTAAACCCTGTATTCAACTCTTTCCGGTGCACAACTGTCTCTTACTCTGATTTCCCAGCTTTTCTTAAAGTTCTCGTGCCCAGTAAATTCGCCTAAATATAGTAGTACGTGGTATAGAGTATAGCGTTGTTAATAAACATAAGGTCTCCAACCTGATTTTGAGGTATCCATTCTAGTCACTACCCGTCGAAAACAGTCGAAAACGCATCGAAATGAAAACAATGACCGAAAATATGGCAGGCGCGTTTGTTTGTAACATGCGCATTGAGTTCAACTTACGCCAAAACGTGCAATTTTATGGTTCTTGAACGTTTTAGTGTGGACAGTCGAAGACGCATAACGGTAGTGCGGACGCGAATCGATTCATGCGTTTTCGACGACAACGATACTTTTGGTTTTCTCATGCAACTGCAAAAAATTGCGACTTATTATGGGCGTGCGATAAGTGAGCGCTAGCTTAGCTACCTTTTGAGGCATTACGCGACAAAATGGTCCAATCTAGTTTCACTTTTTTGTGGATAGTGCTAGTTTCAGTGCATTTCATCCTGCAAAACGCTAGCATATATTTCAATATCAGTTTGGAAATATATTTTTAAGAATACCAAGGAAAGTCACGAAACTGAAAATTTTCTCAAGGGACATTAGGGACGAATGAGCTCAACCAAACCGCGACTGGAAAGTGGTGAAAAACATAAATGAAAACGTTTTTTATTCTCTTCAGCGTAGCTAAAAACAGTCGAAAGACAATAATTTTTTTTGCTATAGATAAGGCAGATTAGAATCCAGCTGGATGATGCATTCCTGAGCCTTGAAACTGCCAGAGATGACAACGTTTATCTTAAGGCTGAGGCTGAAGCATTAAATGCCAAAGTTATCAACCTCGGAGCCAAGGTACGTCAAACCCCGGGGGAAACTCAACAAAGTAATATACGGGAAGGCTCCGCTCCAAAGTTCAACCCCCCTTAACTTCTCCCTTACCCTTTTATTTACCATTTTTGACAGAAAACGTACCCCTTTCATATACAGTCTCAGGGGCGGATCCAGGATTTTTTTTAGAGGGGGTGCACTCGTCTCTTGCTCTACTTCAACACCAATAAACCACATAGTTTTTTTTTGCAGAATACCAGTTGTATAAGAAAACCGCAGGTCATCTCAGGGGGGGGGAGGGGGGGTGCGCACCCACTACACCCTCCCCTAGATCCGCCCTTGAGTCTATTGACAAATGGCACCCCTTTCACATACCTTGTTTAGAACTCTTTATTTGATGTAAATGCACTGTCTTTTAAAATATAAATAAATCAAAAAGTGTGTTCTCCACTTTTTCACAACCATTAAATGCATCTGTTAGCCCCTTCTGGGCCCTTTTACAGACCGAAATGACAGATTCCCCTAATTTTTCCATATATTTCAACAGGGTAAAATCCATACCCTCTCATATATCCGAAGCCTGAAAAAGATACCCTTTTCGTACGGGGCCTCGTCGTAATGACCCTTGTAGGGAGTTCCCCGGCCTGTGCCAAGGTCGAATTTGGCCTAAGTTGGTAAGCTGTAAGAAAACGTGTCATTAAATTATTCCAGTAGTAATAAACCTATGTGTGAAAGGATTATATATAGAGATGAACGTTTTCTCGATCTTGGGCGATGATTAGACAAATAAGCTTGAGACGGTATGATATGACAACAGCAGTGTTGAAAAATTAAATGATGGCGATTCTTAAAGTGATGGTGATGATGATTATTGAGGAATAACGTACTAAATTATTTTTGCACTGAAAAATGTAAAACTGACTTAACAGGTCTCTAAAAGCCCTTTTGTTGTTACTTAATTAAGTGCGCCAGCCTAGAAGCTCAGAAAGCAGAGCTGTTTAAAAATCTGAAGTTGGAGCGACAGCAGGCAGCAAGCATGATAAAGAATCTTGAGATCAAGCTGCGAGAAGCTGACAAAGCCCTGATGGATCAAGTGCGACAATTTGGTGTCACATTTAAGACTCGTCATCCTGTGAATCTAGAGGTAGAGGCCTTCGCTACTTTACTGGAAGCCGAGGAAAAAAGGTAGAGTAACGTGGAGAGTCTCTATGTCTATTTCTGATAAAAATGAAGTCGCGACGATCGCTATTTTTTTTCGGATGATCGAAACGATCATTCATCTTAGTCGTGGGATGAAGGCAAAGAAATCAATTTTGCTTATTAGACCTTGTTATCGTTGTTTTTGTTGTTTTTTCGTTTCTGTCGCCGTCGTGGTTGCTTGATATGTGATGATTTCGTTGAAAAACGGACGATTTGATGAAAAAAGCGCTACCAAAACGACTTCCGTAGGTACCAATACATAGACTGAAATTTAGTTGAAAAGTATAAGTCTGCAAGATGTGACTTGTAATAATAGTTTGCGCATCAGATCTCGTCTTTTTATGAGCTTTCTTTATCGATCCCGACAGTATTGACCCTTATAACGAGCATATATGCTCCTGGCCTTACGTCTCCTAGTCTGTGTTAGTGTAATGATTGCCACCGAGTAAAAATTTTTGTGATCAGAAATTCTCAACATCAGCTTACTTCTCGTCATCCTCGGAGACCGAGGGGCTGATAGTGGGGGCGAAGGAAAGTCTAAACGGGGGGAAAAATATGGCTCGAAGAAAAGTACGATCTGCCCCTGGGTCTCCGAGGATGACTTCTCGTGAAACCTACTTGTACATTCTCATAAACTTCCCATATACAATTACATCACTATCTCATGAATTGAGCTGGAAAGGTCTCCTGAAACTGAAAAACACTGAAGATTCAGAAAATAATTTTCCCCAGCATTTGATCAAACCAGTGATAGGTAAACTTAAAATTACTGAAAACTCCCGGTCAATATTTACAAGTTCAGACCAACAGTAATTTAGTGTGTTATTTTACCATTACATTACTTATAAGGGACCATTCATAATTGAAGTTGGAGGGGGGGGGGGGGGGGGGGGGAATCGGGGGGGCCTTCATTTTTTTTGGAGGGAATAGGGGGGGCCATAAAATGCCAAAAGAGGAGCTTGGGGGGGTCCAAAAGTTTCTTTAAGGAGCATCCCCACTGAGCAGCATGATCTTTG